AGCTACTCCTCAAACACTCTTTTCTCCTCTTTTTTGCCAAGTCAAAGTTTCAACATTCAGCTTAGATGCCAACTCCACCAGAAAACTTTCAGTGACTCTCTGATTTAGAAGTCCTCTTCTGTCCTCTCATAGCACTTACCACAATTACTGTATGATAGAATAAACACTCTTATAATTCAGTCTGCTATATGCTTTGCTTTATTTTTCTGTTTCTTCTAGTAAATTGTGAGCTCCTTGAGTGGTCAGATAGCTTATTCACCTTTGTTCCACACTGCCTGACACGTGTAATGGGTTGTTACTGAACGAATGATTTATGAAAGGGGGCAAGGCAGATGGAAGGAAGGAAAGGGAAGAAGAGATGGAAGGCAGAAAAGGGGAGAGAGGAAGGAAGTGAGGGGGGATGCAAGGAGAGAAAGATTTTTAATTCACAGGCCTTTTAAAAAGAGCATTTGTAATCAGTCCATTATTTTTATATGGCGTAAGTCAGTGATTACTGAAGACAGAATGGTACATCTGAAAAAGCCAATCTACTCACATTACAAGTACAACCATCTAAATCACTCAATCCCTTAAAGATTGTGATATATATCTAGTCCATCTGGCCCAATTTCATTTGAACATTTACTGCAATGTAATGACAGATGTTAATAACAGGCACAACATAAAAGCAGAAAAAGGTTTAGTTAGGAAAAAGAAGGAAATAAATCTGACATAATTAAAATTAAGTCTCAATTATTTACAAATGCTAATAATCTACCGTTTCCTAATTATGTCCTATCACTGATGTTGAAGAGCACAAAAAATAAATTCAACATCAGTGTTATACATGACAACATTACAGCAAACTGCTTTTGTATTACAAATCATATTTCTCAAAAGTATACTATGTAAAAATATGACAAGATAAAAGCACACTAGCCAGTAAAGCGGCTGTATTTATTTAAATAAATTCTTGAAGATAGTACAACAGGAAAATTTCTGCTCAAACTGGCACATACAAGAAGACTTTCAAAAAGTTCACGGTAAATTAATGCAAAAAACTTCAGAAATCCAGGCATAGTTTTTCTGTAATATACAAATTCCGTGAACTTTATGCCACCTCATGTGCAAGGACATTTCTCTTTATTTTGGGACTTTCAAGCAATGACCAGAAACTGTTACTGTACTCTTTCAATTACCTCAATACTCTGTGACTTAATGGACTCAAAAAAAGTTGTCACTGACAGAACATACAATTCATATTTAAAAGCTTGCTTGGTAAGATCCAATAAATGGTGTAAATCCTTCTACAGCTCATTTGTCATTATAATATTTAAATTAGGAACATGAAAAAAAAATTAGGTCCAATACAATCAACATTAAATATATCTGAATTGCAATTTTTGCTAAAGTAAAATATAAATCACAGGCAGCTTCGTATCTTTTGGCATAGTAAAAACCGTAAGAAATAAGCTAAGTTCTTAGCACTAGTCATTACTAGTAAATTCCCTAAGAGAGTACCTGTTACAACAACAGGAAGTTTTCTTGTATAAAGTTAGAAATTTCTCTTTCCTTTTAACATTATCAGCACATTTTTATAAAAGACAGTAAGAATGGAAATGGTGAACACTTAAACCTAGTAGTTCAAAAACGATACCAAAAATTTGCATTTTTCTAATACCATGAAACTTTTAAGACTAAAGTTTCCAACATACTTTCATTTTTTAGACAGACAAGTTTAAAAAAAAAAAGTGGGTGCAGAACGAAAGGAACAAAGAAAAATCTAAAAGAACTCCAACTTACTATATTTCTTTTGACCAAACATTTACAGAGTACCTAAGATGTGTCAAGCACTACACTGGGCACCGTGACAGATTACAACATTTGTTCCAAACTAAACCCTGAATTTACTCAGCTTCTACACTTTTTAGTATACATTATTCAACCCACTGTTTTCTTAAGAAATTTTCAACCTACATCAAGGAATGTACATGGTTCTCCCAATAAATCCACTTTTCACTATTTTACGCAGGTCACAGGAGTTGCGACCAACAAAAGGGATTCATTTCTAAAACCTCACCGGTTACGTTTTCAAGGAAGTGAGACAGCAACTCAGCAAATACGAACTGTTTCAGGCATTTTATGGTGTCCCAAAGTCAAGAAAGAATCTTTAAAAAGCTGGGCTAAATTACTTCGAATAGTGAATACTTAAATAACCACAGCTTTTACTTTTCTTCCATAAGCACAAACATTACAAATTTTAACTTAGACAAAGTACTGAAAAGGCAGTCTTGATTCTAAAGAGAAGTAAAATCTATTTCTGAAAAAACAATTTGAAGGAACTGTCAAAAGTAGATGACATTTACAAGCTAACGTGCTGTCTGTTGCATTCCTGAGCTTGTTAACACAATCTACCCCTTTAAAGCACCTCTGAATTTGTAACGGATGAAAAAATATCTGCTAGTAACTAACGTCCACCAGTTGAACCTAGACATTTTAGTTATCAGAAGGCTTTTTATTCTAGAGGGTAAAAAAAATAAGACTGCAGTCATTTACACATTCTCGAAAGAGAAAAAAAAAAATGCACCTGTACTTCAACTGCTATAATTTCTTCCACCAACTAGACAAATTGCATTTTTCAGACCCTATCCTCCATTCAGTTAACATGTTTACATTTAAGAGGAAGCTGGCCATCAGTTTCCCACACATTACAATGCCACACAGCATCCAACAATTTGCAGGCTAAGAAGGCCTTTATAAAGAAGTGGGGGACATACAAGCTTAAATCTCTGGAAATATCTCTGGAAATACAGGAACAAGTGCCATCTCTGAATTGCGTAAAGATCATCAAAATTCTGTTTCAAGATCTTTGCATGATGATGATTTTTGTGGCTATTAAACAGGTTTTCTGCTAAAATTCACAGTACTATTTCCACACGAAATGAGATTTTCTTTCATCAGTGTAACCGACAGAACCACAATACAGTTCCGTTTCTAGAGTCAGATTACTTGACCTGCTTTTTGTTTTTACCTTTTAAAACACTTAGAGGCGTGCAGTTATTGCTACCGTTCCCTGTAAAAAGCCGTTCTATACGGAAGACTCACCCTCCACGAGATATCCTAGAACTAACTCCACAACTCCACAGCAAAGCCCGTGCACATTCCCACCAGCTGACCCCTATCGTCTCCTGGGAGGGGCTCAGCCCCAAGCCACCAAACACATCCTCCCCTGCAAAACTCGAAGGCCGCACACGACGACCGCGGCTCAAGCCCCTGCTTTCTGAATTCTAAAACCCAGAGGTTCTTTTTCTGCGGGCAGACTTACCTTCATGGTGAATCTGGGACTGCGTTCCGCTCAGAAACACCAGATTCACCTGCACCTGGAGGGGAAACAAAAGACACCCAGTTAACACCACGGGCACCCCTCTGCACCAGCGGCGGAGTAGAGAAGAAAGCGAGCGATGCCCGAAGCCCAGAGAAAGAGCCTTGCAGAGAGGGAATCGGCCCCGGAACCACCACGAGCCGATTCGGGGCTCCCTCTGGCCTCGCCATCCCCGCAAACACGGCCACCTACACAGCTCGGCAGCTTCCCGTCCCCATTGTCGGGACCCGACGGAGTTTCCCGTCTCCGACAATGACGCCATTTCTGTCAGTGAAGAAACTCACAACAAGCCCGGGGTCCGGCGCGGGGCCGGCCGCCCTCCCCCGCGGGCCTCGTCGCCGGGCTGAGCCGGTCCGCGCCCCCACCGGCCTCGCAACCCCGCGTCGGAGCCGGAGCCCGGCCGGGGGCCGCCGAGGGGCAGGACGGGCCCGAGGGCCGAAGGCAAGACCAGCCCACCCCAGAGCCTCTGCCCACGTCCCGTTCAAAGCCGAGACCCGACAAGTGCGAGCGAGATCAACATCTGCCCCCGCCGCGGGGACGGCGAGAGGACCGAGGGCCTGGGAGGCAGCACGGACCCCCACCCCGCCTGGGCCCCCAGCCGCGGCCAAGGGCCGCTAAACCGCTGAGTGTGCGGCCGCCCGGCCAGGGGGCGGCTCGGACTCGGCTGCTGCGGGGGGGCGGGGGCCCCGGGAGGCCGAGGCCCCGAATCGGGGCGCTGGGGAGACCACCACAGCCATCTACCCCCTGCTCCTCGACCGGGCCCAGCGACTCCCAAAAGGACCCCCTTAGAAGACCGCGAAAGCCCCGGAAAATAACCCCTACCTTCCTCGGAGGCGAGATCTGACCCTGGCACGTCCAGAGTCCCCTCTCCTCCACCCCCCCCAAAACCAGCAGGCCCGGGGGAGAGATGGGGAAGAAGGGCGGTGGGTCCAGTGGCTGCTGAAGCTGAGGCTCCGGCTCCTCCTCCTCCCGCGGCGGCGACTGGTACCTTTGTTTGGCGGCCGCTCGGGTTCCCTCGCTGGGGGGAGGGGGGACGACGAAAAATCCCTCCTGGACTGGAGGTCCGGGCCCCCAATCGCGCTGCCCTCCAGAGGACGACGGCGATGGACCCTCTGCGGCTCCCTCGAGGCAAAGGTCCAGGCGGTGGCCGTGGTGGCGGCAAGCTTAAGCCCAAGAGTCTCCCTCAGCTTCGGCGCCCGAGCTCCTCACTCCGGACTCGACTGACGGGCAAACATCGCTTCCCCCCCCACCACCCTAGATTCCCCCCCTTCCCTCCTTTCTCCCCTCCCCTAGTTTTCTTTCCCCTCCCCTACCTCTTTCCCGGATGGCCTCTTAGGCGACCTCGGATTGGTTATTTTTCTTTAAAACCCGCCTATACCCTCTTCCTACTGGTCCCAAGGATACAAACAACGACGCCATTTTCCCACCAGTTCTATGGAAACAGAAAGTTACGCCTCAAAGCTTCCTGGGAAATGTAGTCCAGCCAACCCAGGCCAACGCTCAAACCTTCGCTCAGGAGAACTGCACAACCCGCAAGGCCCCGCGCCGCGCGAGACGGGACAGGGAGGGAAAGGGGGCGGGGCGACAAAGCGGTGGGGAGGCGGCAACGACGCCTGCGCAGTGTGACCAGGATGGCGCATTTTCTTGCATCGAGTAATGCGGTGTCGCTGGCGGCTGAGGAGGGCGGAGAGTTCTGTAGTGAAGCGGGGGGAGGGATTCATGTAGGCATCGGGAGGAGCCTTGGTCTGAACTACAAAGTGGGAAGTTGATGCTGGGTGTGGCTACTCCCGGACCGGCGGCGTGAAAGTCGTGATATCATCGTTGAACCGTGAGCGGCAGTCCTGGCGGCTGGGGGGGACCCGGATGGCAAGGAGGGCGGAGGAGGATGGGGGGTGGACAGAGGGGAAAGAAAGAAAGGAGGGAGAGGACCCGGATGCTGAACCGGATTGTGTACGACTTTCCCATCCCCTAGCGTGAGACGGGGCGGGGGGTGGGTGACCCAGGAGGGCGGAAGAGGGCATCTGGGCTAGCATGGTAGACATTCGAAACTCTCTGCCAAGCCGCTGTTAAAAATCGGCGTCTTAAGTTATTTGAAGCGCCTGCCTCTATGTGTCGGGCAGTTTCCTTCAAACCCAGCATCTCCTGGAGTTCAAGAGGAAAGATTCGGTCTGTGCTCCGCATTTTGTGTGTGTCTTGTTTAGTAACTCTGAAACCAGGCCCTTCCCTTGAGGGGGAGGGAAAAAAGACTCTGTGTGGAATTTTTATTTTCTCAAAGCGAGCCGATGTTCTGATTCGTCCTGTAACACATTGGAAGGCACTTGCGTTCAGCCCTTCACATGTGTCCTAGGAAAATGTGGCGAAGCTAGCATGACCCTTCTTGAAGCTAAGTCTGGTGAGAGATGTGAAACTAAACGGACTCACCAGTGAATGTGAAATTGCAGTAGTGGCAATGCTACAAAGCAGAATTAAGTGGAGAATGTGAAACCGGGAATTTGGCTTAGGAAGATAACGGGAGGCTTTCCCAAGATAGAGCTGCAGGGGTAGGGAGCATTAACTGGAAGAGAAGCACATTCCAGACAAGAGGAGTTGGAAAGGCTTGTATCAGGAGGCAGCCCTTCTGAGTTTTTGTTCTTGTCCTAAGAGCAGTGGTACACCTTTCAAAAGTTCTCAATTGGAAAGGAGAGGGGGTGAGTTTGAACTGTGCAAAGGCACATGAGAAAGAAGTGAATGCAGAGATTCCCGCAAGGAGGCTACTGAGTTAGTGCTTCACCTGGTGGAAAGAGTGTATTGTGTGTGTTTTTTAAAAGATTTGTTTACATATTTATTTATTTATTTATTTATCTATTTGAAAGAATTATAGAGGGGGTAGGTGGAGGAACAGCAGAGACCCTCCATCTGTAGGTTCACTCCCTAGGTGCCCACAATAGCCAGGGCTAGGCCAGGCCAAAGCCAGGAACCCGGAACTCCATCCTGGTCTCCCAGATGGGTGGCAGGAGCTCAAGTACTGAGGCAATCACCTGCTGCCTCCCAGGCACGTTAGCAGGAAGTTGGATTCCAACCAGGCATTCCATCCACTGCAGCTGGGATGAACCCCAGGAACATGCTCTATCCCCAAGGAAGTATGAGAGTGATAAAGAAGCAGACGAGATGGCGATTAGCAAAGAATTTTATTGAAAAAGCAAAGAGAAGAACTTCTGTAGCCTAGAGGGGAACAGAATTCCACTGAAACTAACTAGTGGAGTTTATATACATAAACCTTAAAGACTCTACAGTGTGGCGAAAGCACTTTATCTTAGAATCTGTCAAGGGAGTTGCTTATCTTCCTCAGACTGCCAAAACTGTACAGGCATATGACCACCATAAACTGGCCACTGGTCACTCTGACGCCAGAGCCGCCTTTTCCCCTCTAATTGCCGAAACCCTTTCCTTTCCATGACAAGCTCTACACTCTCTGTCTAGACACCTGATTTTCCTTACTTTCCTCACATAGCATAAGCAGTGGCTTAACTGGCTGTGCCACAATGTTCACTCTCAGTTGTAGTCGTACAAAGATCCATTGATCCACAGTTTGACCAAATTTCTAGCATTTTATCAGTTTTGAAAGTGAGGACTTGTGCCAGCATTGTGGCCTGGTGAGCTGCTGCAGCTCCAGGATCCCATATGGGCACCAGTTCCTGTCCCAGCTCCCTTCTGACCCTGCTCCTTTTTTTTTTTTTTTTTTTAAGATTTATTTTTATTTATTTGAAAGTCGGAGTTACACAGAGAGAGAAGGAAAGGCAGAGGGAGAGAGGTCTTCCATCCACTGGTTCACTCCTCAGTTGGCCACAATGGCCAGGGATGCAGTGATCTGAAGCCAGGAGCCAGGAGCTTCTTCTGGGTCTCCCATGTGGGTGCAGGGACCCACATGGACTTGGGCCATCTTCTACTGCTTTCCCAGGCCATAACAGAGCTGGATCAGAAGTGGAGGAGCTGGAACTCAGACCAGCGCCCATATGGCATGCTGGCACTGTAGGTAGTGGCCCTCACCCACTACACCACAGCCCTGGGGCCCCTCCTGCTCCCTTCTAATGGCCTGGGAAAAGCAGCAAAAATGGCCCAAGTGCTTGGGACTTGGCCACCGATGCGGGAGACCTGAGGAACTTCCTGGCTCCTGGCTTCAGTGTGGCCCAGCCCTGGCAGTTGTAGCCATCTGGGGAGTGAACCAGCAGATATAAGATCGCTCTCTCGTTCTGTATGTGTGTGTGTGTGTGTGTCTGTCTGTGTGTGCGTCTGTCTGTAGCTCTGACTTGGAAATAAGTATTAAAAACAAAAAAGGACTAGATTCAGACTAGTTATTCACCCTGAAGATAAATTAATAGAGTTCAAGTAACCATGTGAATGCCTGAGATTAGTGAATGATAGCTGAAATTTCAAGCTGTAATAAATTGGGAGTCCTTTGAGTTAAAAAAAAAAAAATTGAGAGTACATGCCACGGTATGTAGAATGTCTTAGGCAGAGAGACAAACAGAAATCTGTTCTTTTCCCCAAATGCCCTCAGCAGTCAGGTTGAGGCAGGCCAAAGCCAGGAGCTAGGAACTCAGTACAAGTTGTCCATATGAGTGGCAGAAACCCAACTATTTGAGCCATCACCTGCTGGTTTCGACCATGCATATTAGCAGAAAGCTGGAATCCAGGGTGGAGCCAGAACTCAGACCCAGGCACTCCAGTGTGGAATGCAGGTGGCACAACTGGCATCATAACCTCTAGCCAAACACCAGCCAAGAACTACTTGGATTCAAGAGAGGAGACATATTGGTTTTCAATACCTAAAAAACTGAACATGTTTAGTTTTTTTACTTATATGTAAACATCCTCTGGGAAAAGACCATTAATTGACTTGGGTTTGTTTTTTTTTTTAATTTTTTATTTATTTATTTATTTATTTGACAGGTAGAGTTATAGACAGTAAGAGACAGAGAGAAAGGTCTTCCTTCCGTTGGTTCACCCCCCAAATGGCCGCTACAGCCGGCGCTGCACCAATCCGAAGCCAGGAGCCAGGTGCTTCCTCTTGGTCTCCCATGCGGGTGCAGGAGCCCAAGTAACTGGGCCATCCTCCACTGCCCTCCTGGGCCACAGCAGAGAGCTGGACTGGAAGAGGAACAACCGGGACTAGAACCCGGCACCCATATGGGATGCCGGTGACACAGGCGGAGGATTAAACAAGTGAGCCACAGCGCAGGCCCCCCATTAATTGACTTGTTAAATGAATAGTCTTTTCTTTTCTTTTTTTTTGAAAGAGTTACAGAGAGAGGTAGAGCCAGAGAGAGGTCTCCCATCCACTGGCTCACTCCCTAAATGGCCGAATGGCCAGAGCTGAGCTGATAAAAGCCAGGAGCTTCTTCTGGGTCTCCCACGTGGTTGCAGGGGCCCAAGGGCTTGGACCATCTTTACTGCTTTCCCAGGCCAGAGCAGAGAGCTGGTAGAGCAGCCAGGACTCGAACCAGGACCCATATGGGATGCCAGCGCTACAGGCCAGGGCTTTAACCTGCTGTGCCACAGAGCCAGCCCCTAATGAATAGTCTTAAACTTCTTTGAAGGAACAAAGGAAAGAAATTTTTTTAAATTCATAACTAGTATTTTGAGAAATAACATCAACCAAAGCTCTAAGAATTTTTTTAAAAAGTTAGCTCTAATCTGTACAATAGAATACACCTATTATTGACCCAGAACCAAAAGAGAATTCTGGAAAACTGATTTTTTTTTTTTTTTTGAGATGTACTTATTTATTTGAAAGGCAGAGTTGCAGAGAGAAAGAGAGCAAGTGGGTGAGCTTCCATCTATTTGTTCACTCCCCAAATGGCGGCAACAGCCGAGACTGGGCCAGGCCAAAGACAGGAGCCAGAATTTTCATCTGAGTCTCCCATGTGGATGCAGGGGTACTTGGGCCATCTTCCACTGTTTTCCCAGGTGCATTAGCAGGAAACTGGATCAAAAGTGAAACAGCTGGTACTCGAGTGAATGCCTGTGTGGCATGCCAGCATTGCAGGTGACAGCTTAACCCCGCCACACCACAACATTGGCCTCATGATTTTTAAGTTAACTCAAATGTGTTTTGGAGGCTGTGAAAAAAATACATATTTTCTCCCAACCTAACTGAGAAGAAATGACTACTAACTGATTCAAATAGAGAAGTATACAACATGTAAGAGGTACTTTTTTAAATTCTCTTTAGTTACTTAATAATAATCTTTGACATTAGCCTTTATTTTTCCTGTTTTGCGCCTTCTATTTCTTTTTTTTTAATGTTTTATTTATTTATTTGAGAGGCAGAGTTAGGGGGGGAGAGATAGAAAGGTCTTCTATACACTGGCTCACTCTCCAGATGGCTGCAACAGCCAGAGGTTAGCCAATCCAAAGCCAAGAGCCAGGAGCTTCTTCTGGGTCTCCCACATGGGTGCAGGGCCCAAGCATTTGGGCTGTCTTCTACTGCTTTCCCAGGCCATGAGCAGAGATCTGGATTGGAGGAGGAGCCGCCAGAACACGAATCAGCACGGATGCTGGTGCCACAGGTGGAAGCTGAGCCTACTACGCCACAGGGTCCCTCTATTCTTCCTTTTTTTTATTTTTATTTATTTATTTATTTATTTTCGACAGGCAGAGTGGACAGTGAGAGAGAGAGACAGAGAGAAAGGTCTTCCTTTACTGTTGGTTCACCCTCAAATGGCCGCCGCGGCCGGCGCACTGCGCTGATCCGAAGCCAGGAGCCAGGTACCTCTCCTAGTCTCCCATGGGGTGCAGGGCCCAAGTACTTGGGCCATCCTCCACTGCACTCCCTGGCCACAGCAGAGAGCTGGCCTGGAAGAGGGGCAACCGGGACAGAATCCGGCGCCCCAACCTGGTCTAGAACCCAGTGTGCCAGCGCCGCAGGCAGAGGATTAGCCTAGTGAGCTGCAGCGCTGGCCCTCTTCTTCCTTTAACCATGAAGAGTGAGGTAACCCATGTCCGAAATAAGAAGCTCTTGGCTCCTGGCTTCAGATCAGCCCAGCTCCAGCCATTGCAGCCATTTGGGGAGTGAGCTAGCAGGTGGAAGACTCTCTGTCTTCCCTCTCTCTGTAACTTTGCCTCTCAAAAAGAGAGAGACAGGGATATTAAATAACTTGATTCTCACTAGGTTGGGTAGACTCAGTTGAGCTCTTAATTGTGCTGATAAAGTGGAATGCCAGCACTAATAATTATATTCTGGAAATTGTTTTACTTTGTGGCACTTTATCAGTATTTGCCTAGTAATTAAGTTTATAAGCAATGTGTTCTTCTATTGAAACATACAAAAAGTCTTGTATTTTGTGGATTCAGCATCATATTTTGCTCTCTTAATATTTAAAATTTTAAAATTTAATGCCGGCAAGGAGTAACAGTATTAGAATCGCCTTCTCCTTTAGAGTGTAGGTGGTGACATCATTGTCTCACATAACGGAGCTGTAAAAGAAACCTTTTAATACTGAACATTATGAAGTTACTATGGCAGTTTTAGAAATTGAGGAACACATGCTCAATAGTAACAGTAAATAATTTTAAAGTAACACCCCCGCTTTAGTTGGAAAAGGCCTATTTCCAATTTTCTCTAACCCATTCTCAAGCAGCTGCATCAGAATCATTCAAGGTGCATATTAAAAATGAGATCCCAGGGCAGGCATTTTGCCTAGCAGTTAGGATGCCCACTTCCCATTTATGAATGCCTGGGTTCAAGTCCCAGCTCTGCTCCTAATCTGCAGCTTCTTGCTAATGTGCACCCTCAGAGGCAGCAGGTGATTGGTCTAGTAGTTGGGAACCTGCCAACTACATGGGAGATGCAGGTTGAGTCAGCCTGGCTCAGTCCCAACTGTTGGCAGCTATCTGGGACCTGAACCAGCTGATGGTGGCTGTTTGTGTGTATTGTGGGGTAGAGGGAGTATCCTTCTCAAATTAAAACATTTAAGAGTTACATAAAAATGGAGTTTCCTACTCTCCTGCCCATAGTTAGTGAATCAGAAAAAGACCATTGAGGCCGGCGCCGCGGCTCACTAGGCTAACCCTCCGCCTTGCAGCGCCGGCCCACCGGGTTCTAGTCCTGGTCAGGGCGCCGGATTCTGTCCCGGTTGCCCCTCTTCCAGGCCAGCTCTCTGCTGTGGCCAGGAAGTGCAGTGGAGGATGGCCCAAGTCCTTGGGCCCTGCACCCACATGGGAGACCAGGAGAAGCACCTGGCTCCTGCCATCGGATCAGCGCGGTGCGTCGGCCGCTGCGCGCTGGCCGCGGCGGCCATTGAAGGGTGAACCAACGGCAAAGGAAGACCTTTCTCTCTGTCTCTCTCTCACACTGTCCACTCTGCCTGTCAAAAAAATAAAAAATAAAAGAACCATTGAGTAATCAGAATAACAAAGTACATTCCGCTTGGCTTCCTTTATTCAAAAAAAGTGGCCCTCTCAAACAGATACATTGATGTGCTTTGTTATGTTCTAGGGTACTGGTATAGAGGACTCTAAGATACTTTCCACTCCTAAAATTCTCTAATAGACAACTCTTTGGGCAGCCCCAGTTTTGACCTGCAGTTAGATACCATATTACTGGATTTAGTTTTGTGGTGGTGTATCTGCAGTGAAGGCAGAAAAGTGTTAGAAGAGGGCTTGTGATCCTAGAAAGCAATTCATAATCCCAAGAAGCAAAGAGGACAAAAGTGATAAACCTCACAAAGTGTACTGAAGAGAGCACTCAAGACTCCTTGGGGCCAGCATTGTGGTAAAGTGGGTTAAATGGCTACCTGCAACACCAGCCTTCCATGTGAGAGGCGGTTCAAGTTCTGGCTGTTCTCCTTCCAATTCAGCTCCCTACTAATGCACCTGGGAAAGCAGCAGAAGATGGCCTAAGTACTTGTACCCCTGAATCCATGTGGGGAACCTGGATGAAGCTCCTGGCTTTGGCCTGACCCAGCACTGGCCATTGCAGCCATTTGGAGAGTGACTCAGCAGATGGAAGATCTCTCTCTCTCTCTCTCTCTATGCCTTTCGAATAAATCTTTTTTTTTTAATTTATTTATTTGACAGGTAGAGTTATAGACAGTGAGAGAGAGAGAGACAGAGAGAAAGGTCTTCCTTTGCCATTGGTTCACCCCCCAAATGGCCGCTACGGCCGGCGCAGTGCCAATCTGAAGCCAGGAGCCAGGTGCTTCCTCCTGGTCTCCCATGCGATACAGGGACCCAAGTACTTGGGCCATCCTCCACTGCTCTCCCGGGCCACAGCAGAGAGCTGGACTGGAAGAGGAGCAGCCGGGACGAGAACCCGGTGCCCATATGGGATGCCGGCGCCGCAAGGCGGAGGATTAACCAAGTGAGCCACGGCGCTGACCCCCAAATAAATCTTTAAAAAAAAAAAAATAAGAATCCTGATACGAGGGTCTTCAGAAAGTTCACATGAGTATTTTGAAACAATTATGTATGAACTTCAATTTATTTTCTTTTTTTTTTTTTTTTTTTTTTTTTTTTGACAGGCAGAGTGGACAGTGAGAGAGAGAGAGACAGAAAGGTCTTCCTTTACCGTTGGTTCACCCCCCAATGGCTACCGCGGCCAGCACACCGCACTGATCCAATGGCAGGAGCCAGGTACTTATCCTGGTCTCCCATGCAGGTGCAGGGCCCAAGCACTTGGGCCATCCTCCACTGCACTCCCGGACCACAGCAGAGAGCTGGCCTGGAAGAGGGGCGACTGGGACTAGAACCTGGTGTGCCGGTGCCGCAGGCAGAGGATTAGCCTATTGAGCCGTGGCGCTGGCCTTCACTCTATTTTCCATGAACTTTTTGAGAAATATTTAGAAAGAAGCAGAGGTGACGTTCAACAGTAAAGGAAGTCTCTGGGAAGACCACGAGTGAAATTCTGGGAAAGACTGAAGTCAATTCAAAATAATAAATCACTACTATAGGGAAATATTTTTAATAAACATAATTACTTCAAATGCATGTCTTAAGTCAGAATCTCTAAAATTGATTGTGGAGAAAATGCCAAAAGAGTGATGGGTTCCCTTTTTTTTTTTTTTTTAAATGCTCAATCCTCTGACTGTGCTTTGCTAATTCTTTTTTTTTTTTTTTTTTAAGTCAGAGTTCCATAACGAGAGGAGAGGCAAAGACAGGTCTTCCATCCGATGGTTCACTCCCCAATTGGCCACGATGGCCAGAGCTGCACCCATCTGAAGCCAGGAGCCAAGAGCTTCCTCTGGGGCTCCCACTGGGGTGCAGGGGCCCAAGGATTTGAGCCATCTTCTACTGCTTTCCCAGGCTATAGCAGAGAGCTGGATCAGAAGTGGAGCAGCTGGGTCTCAAACCAGCACCTATATGGGATGCCAGCGCTAGTTGAAGTCCCAGCTGCTCCACTTCTAGTCTGGCTCCCTGCTTATGCACCTGGGAAAGCAATAGAAGATGGCCCAAGTGCCTGGGTCCCTGTCATCCCCATGGGAGACCTCAGTGAAGCTCCTGGTGTCCTGGCTTAGGCCTGGCCTGGCCCTGGCTGCTGTGCCATCTGAGGAATGAACTAGTGGATAGAAAATCGATCTCTGTTCCTCTGTCCCTGTAACTCTGACTTTCAAAATAAATAAACAAATCTCTAAATAAATAAATATATATATATGGTTCATATGTTTTTAGTATATTCCCAGGGTTGTGCAACTCTCACTACAATCTAATTTCACAATATTTCGATCCCCACAAAAAGAAACCCCATACTTGGTAATGAATCGTCCTTGTCCCCACCCTTGCACCTGCCAATTAAACTACTTTTCTATAAGCATTGCATATAAATGGAATCATAGAGTTTTTTGTGACCAACTTCTTTCACTCTATGTTGCAAAGTTTCAAATATTAGTTTTCTTAAGGCAAGCCAGACGTCTACCTTCCAAAAACACCTTGAGATACACATTTCTTTGCAGTCTGATGCTCAAATTTGATTCATGAAATCATGCATTTTTTCTTCTTGACAGATCAGGTTCACAATTTACAAACAATGGAGAAGACTCAAGAAACAGTCCAAAGAATTCTTCTAGAACCCTATAAGTACTTGCTTCAGTTACCAGGTAATAGTTCAGCAACGGTCATTTAGGATAATTTTCATACAGTAGTGGTCATTTAAATGTGAATACATTGGAAAGATTTGACTTGCCAGCTCTTGAGATTTTGTAGTTAGGTGATATGTATCAGAAAAATGCTGAGTAGAACTTTATAAGTTTTCCTTCTTAATAGGTAATTTTTGAAGCACTCATTTTAAAATTCTGTTAAATAATATGCCTTTAAAAAAATAAAAGATTTGAAGCAGACTTTTGGCAAAGGAGTTGATGCTACTTGCAACACTTGTGCACCTGAATCCCATGTCGTAGTACCCGGTTTGATTCTTCACTCTTCCAGTGCTCCTGTTTGGGATGCAGTGTATCAAGTAGTTACTTAACTGCCTGTGCCACAATGCACACTCCTCTCACTGGATGCTTTTTATTCTTCATGGATGCCTCACATTCAAAGTCCCCACTGTTTAGCTATTAGTATAACTTTTGCAAATTTAAATAACAATGGAATACTTTACTTAATTACCATATTTGCAACATAGCCCACATTATACCTAAAAAAGAATATGTCACCTGGGGCCGGCGCTGTGGCGCAGCGGGTTAACACCCTGGCCTGAAGCGCTGGCATCCCATATAGGCACCAGTTCTAGTCCCGGCTGCTCCTCTTCCAATCCAGCTCTCTGCTGTGGCCTGGGAAAACAGTAGAAGATGTCCCAGGTCCTTGAGCCCCAGCACCCACGTGAGAGACCTGGACGAAACTCCTGGCTCCTGGTTTCAGATCGGCACAGCCCCGGCCATTGCGGCCATCTGGGGAGTGAACCATCGGATATGTCACCTGGACCTGGACATAGTTTCCTGTCTTAAAAACTGCCTAATCATGTGTATGTATGTGTTTTTGTTTTACTTTGCTACTTTTTTTTTTTTTTTTTTTTTTTTTTGACAGAGTGGACAGTGAGAGAGAGAGACAGAGAGAAAGGTCTTCCTTTGCCGTTGGTTCACCCTCCAATGGCCGCCGCCACAGGCGCGCTGCGGCCGGCGCACCGCGCTGATCCGATGGCAGGAGCCAGGAGCCAGGTGCTTCTCCTGGTCTCCCATGGGGTGCAGGGCCCAAGCACCTGGGCCATCCTCCACTGCACTCCCTGGCCACAGCAGAGAGCTGGCCTGGAAGAGGGGCAACCGGGACAGAATCCGGCGCCCCAACCGGGACTAGAACCCGGTGTGCTGGCGCCACTAGGCGGAGGATTAGCCTAGTGAGCCGTGGCGCCGGCCACTTTGCTACTTTTTTAAGGCTTTATTTATTTACTTATTTATTTGAAAGGCAGAGTGATACATAGAGAAAGGGGGAGAGAGATCTTCCATTTTCTGGTTTACTCCCCAAATGCCAGGAACTCCATCCAGATTTCCCACAGGGATGGCAAGCAAAGCTTAATGTTAAGACACCACTTAGACACTCACATCCCATGTCAAAGTGCCCAGGTTCAGAGACCAGCATTGTGACACAGCATCACTTACAAAACTGGCATCCCAAATCAGAGTATCAAGTTCAAGTCCAGGGTGCTTCCCTTCCAATCCAGCTTGCTTGATGATGCACCCAGGAAGGCAGTGGAAGATGGCCCAAGTACATAGGGTTCTGGTGCTTGTGGAAGACCAGGATGGAGTATGTGTTTCCTTGCTTCAGCCTTGCCCAGGCCTGGCTTTTGTGACCATTTAGGAATTAAACCATTGGACAGAAGTTATCTCTCTGTCTCGCTCTTTCTCTCTCACTGTATCTTCCTCTTTGTTGTTCTGTCTTTCAAATAAATAAATAAATCTTTCTCAAAAAAAAGTAGTGCCTGGGTTCAGGTCCCAACTTTGTTTCTCATTCTGGCTTTCTGCTAATGTATACCATAGGAGGTAGTGGTGATGTCTCAAGTGTTTGGGTCCCTGCCACCCACATGGGAGACCTGAATTGAGTTCCAGCCTCCTGGCTTCAATATGGCCCTGATACAGCTTTTAGACATTTGAGGTTTGAACCATTGAATGAAAGATCTTTGTCCATGGGTTTGTCGTCTATCTTTTTCTCTCTTTCAAATCAATAAATGTTTTTTAGAAAGCCAAAATAAGTCTAGCTCTGTTTATTTGGTTTTTTGTTTTTTTAATTGATTGTATTTATTTGAAAGGCAGGAAGACAGAAAAAGATCTCCAGTCCACTGGCTGACTCCCCAAATGTCCACAACAACCAGGGCATTTGTGGGAAGCCAGGAGCCAGGAACTAGATGTGGGTCTCCCATGTGAGTGGCAAGGGTCCAATTACTTGTGTTGCCTCTCAGGATGTATATTAGCAGGAAGCTGGAATTGGGAATATAGCTAGGACTTGAACCCGGGCACTCCAGCACTTCCCAAGGTGCATCTTCACTGCTGAGCCAAATGACTACCCCAGCGAGATAGTTCTTGGACTGCCCGGAAACTGTCATGATTAGTGTCTTTCTGTTGTGGCACACTGTAATGGGGATTTAATTGCTAATAGGTCATTGTTTCAAAATAATGGAGAGATCATAGAAATGGTGAATTCAAAAAGTAAGTTGCCCACTGTTTTAAGAATTGCCAAAAGATGACTTTCAAGTAACATTCAGCAGTTAGTGACTTCACTTCTCACTGAGAAATGTGGCACTGTATTCTGCTTACCTGTAGGAACTGGGCTGCCATAAAACATGCCACTTGCCTGTATTGACAGCAGTCTAACAGATGTCTCCCACTCCACTACTCTGCAAACATGGACTGTCTGTAGTTACATTTTTTTCTTAACTTTCATTGTACTTAAAAGGCAATGGGACAAAAGTCTACATACTGGTTCAATGCGGACCAGGCCAAAGCCAGGAGTCCAGAACCCAATCTGCGTCTCCCACATGGTTGGCACAGACCCAGATACTTGAGCCATTGTCTGCTTCCTCTTGGGATGCACATTAGCAGGAAGCTGCATTGGAAGCACTGGAATTAGGACCCTAACCAGCCTTGCCAGCATCTCAAGGGAGACTTATTAATCACTGCACCAAAGCTTATGTTTTAACCATAATACTGACATTGTAGTGCCCTATAATGTTTCTTTTAATTCTCATTATCTAGGATTAGTATTTAAGCTGTTAGATAACATTTTAAATTCTCATTAAATACTTTACCTTTTTTATCAATTATCTTCTTGTTCCATGATAGAATATAAACTCAAAAGATATTCCAAGAGAAGTAGAGCATTGCATTATACGTAACACATATTTTTTAAAATATATGTATTTTGAAAATCAGAGTTACAGGAAAGAAAAGATAGAGAGGTCTTCCATCCACTGGTTACTTCCCAGATGGCTGCAATGACTGGAGCTGGGCCAATCAGAGCCAGGAGCCAGGAGCTGCTTCTCCGTCTCCTTCATGGATGACTAGGGGCCCAAACACTTGGGCATCTTCCTCTGCTTTTCCCAGGCCATTAGCAGATGGGAGCTAGATCAGAAGTGGAGCAGCTAGGATGCAAACCAGCACCCATATGGGATGCTGGCATCACAAGTGTTGGCTTAACCTGCTACACAGCAATGCCAGCCCCATAACATTTTTTATAGAGAGCTTCAGAGAATTACAACATAACTTACAAATGGACCAGATCAATTATAGTGTTATAAAGTTACTTTTGCTAATAAAAGTTTTTAATGTTTGTGAGAATATCAAGATTTTGGTGTAGTAGAATAATGTTTATATTTATTTACCCAAGTGCAGGTTTCTAGACCTTTTAAGTGGGAGGTGGGAGATAAGGGTGGGCAGAGGAAAATAAGGTTGGGAGTGGAGGAAGAGGGACTGCAGAAAGAGAGCTCTTAAAGAAAAAGTGGAATGTTTGAATTTTGAGAGGTCTCTATCAACCATTAGAAATAATTTGGGATACTTAACCTGGCAGGGGAGATATCGTGATCACAAAGGTGGTTTTCCTAGGGCGAGGCTCACACATTGCACTCCTGGTGTGCGGACCCCTGCGATTTCCCCAAATGCAGAAAACTCGACTGCATGATTTGTGGTAATGGGGGACTGTGTTCGCACTCTCCACTAAAAGAAAATAAGAAAGAAAAGTTATTTGGGGAACTACCCTTGTGACAGAGTGGGGTAAGCCACTGCCTGTGATGTTGGCATCCCATATGAGTGCCAATTTGAGTCCCAGCTGCTCCACTTTAGATCCAACTCCCTGGTAATAGGCTGGGAAAGCAGAGGAGGGTGGCCCAAGTGCCTGGACCCCTGCAACCATGTGGAAGACCCAGAAGAAGCTCATGGCTCCTGGCTTCTGCCTGGCCCAGCCCCAGTTGTTGTGGCCATTTGGTGAGTTAAGTCAGCAGATGGAAGATCCCTCCCTCTGTGTCTCTCCCTCTCTCTTTGTAACTCTGCCTGTCAAATAAATAAACAAGTCTTTTAAATAAATAAATTGGGAACTTTAAAGTACTAGCCATAGTGGTTAAGATACCTGTGTCTCTATTGGGACCTGTGTTCAATACCTGGTTCCTGGTAATGCAGACCCTGAGGCAGTGGTGATGCCTCAAGTGATTGGGTTCCAGCCACCATGTGGGAGATCTGGATAGAGTTCCTAGCTTTTGGGTCCAGCCCAGGGCCCATACAAGGCATCTGGAGAGTGAAGTGAACCAGAAGGTGGAAGCACTTTCTCTCTCTCTCTCTCTCTCAGCATTGCCTATCAAATAAATTTGAAAGTAGTAGGCCAAACCCTAGAATCTGATCAAAGAGAAAATACATTTAAATAAAATTGCAATAATGGCAAATCAAGCCATTCATTATACTGTTTTCTACGTAATATTCAGAAGTAAAATGAAAAATATGAGTACACATCAATTCTCTGGTTTTTTTGTCTTTAGAACTGTTTTTTTTCATTGCTATGCACAATTTTCCACAGTTGTGCGTTTTACATGTAGCCCAGACTGACCTTCGTAAACTGGAAAGGAGATCAGAAGTGTAAACTATGTAATTGCTACCTAGACCTTGAGCACTTTACCAATTAGTAGGCAGAAGATACTACTTCTAGACCCTTAGAGACACCTTTTTTAGACTTTTCACAGGAATGAAAATCATGTCACAATTGGTTATATGCTAGGAGTATGTATACTCATTTGTTTAGATGACTAATGCAGAGAATACAGATTTAGAAAATCATGTTTCTGTTTTAAAGATTTATTTATTTATGTGAAAGGCAGAGTTACAGAGAGGCAGAGGCAGAAAGAAAGAGAGAGAGGTCTTCGATCTACTGGTTCACCCCCCAAATGGCTGCAATGGCTGGAGCTGGGCCAACACAAAGCCAGGAGCTTCTTCCAGGTCTCCCATGAAGGTGCAGGAGCCCAAGGACTGCACTGTTTTCCCAGGCCATACCAGAGAGATGGTTTGGAAGTAGAACAGCTAGTATTTGAACCAGGGCACATAGGGAATACCGGCACTGCAGGTGGTAGCTTTACCTGCTATGCCACGGCATCAGCCCTGCTCATAGAATATTTTGCTGAATGAGTTGGTTATGTTACTTACCTGTCCTTCCTTTATATTTAGACTAAAATGAATTCTAGTGGTAACTCCTACCCAAAGACTTCCTAAGCTTTCCAAATAAGTAAAAGGTGATGTTGAAAAACTTACCCTAGTCAAAACAAAGAGATTAACCTTTGACTGAATTTGAGATGTTAAAAGGGAGTACTTCTTAAGTGGGTATTTGGCATTTTGCATAGCAATTAAGATACCACCTAGGATGCCCACGTGCTATATTTAGTGCCTGGTTCCAGTCCTGGCTTCCAACTTCCAGTCCAGCTTCCTGCTAATGCACAGCTCAGGAAGCAACACTTGGTGAATCAAGTCCTTTATTCCCTGCCAGCTACATAAGAGACTGAGATTGGGTTCCAGGCTCCTGGCTTCAGCCTGGCTTTGCCCTAGCTGTTGCAGGACTTTGGTAAGTGAATTCATATATTATGAAAGATATCCCTCTCCCTCTCTCTGTCCACCCTCCACCACCACCATCTCTCTTCTCCCTCAAATAAAATAAAAATAAATAAAGATTTTTAAAAGGTAACTTTCAAGGCGTGGTGTTCTCATTTGATATAAAAGTAGCAGAGCTCCCCACTTCTTGTAAAAGGTAATTTTATGAGGTAATTCAGTAGTAAAGTATGTTTCATTAAAAGTACCTCAATTCTGTAAGTATGATAGTGCTAATTCACTGTCACTAACTAGGCTGCCTGCCTTTTCAAAAAGAGGAATGAAATAGACCTTAATTCCTAAAAAAGCCCATTTCATCCCATAATCACTGATACAGGTTAAGATGAAAGGAGTGGGCTAGGAGGCCACACTAAAGTGTGTTTAGAATCTCTTTTGACTGCCCTAACTTTAAAAGGTTGTACACTTTATGATGTGGATTTTGTAGGTCTTGGGTGTCTCTCAGTGAAAGGCAAGCCCTGCAATAGGTAATGGATTCATGAGGCTGAACAAGTCAAGTCTGATCGGTTTTCAAGGAAGTTTCTAATATGTTTCTTGTATTTAAATCTTATTGTCAAACTTTATTTTTCAATCTCAGGTAAACAAGTGCGAACCAAACTTTCACAGGCATTTAATCATTGGCTGAAAGTTCCAGAAGACAAACTACAGGTATTTAGGCAATTTTAATCTCATTCTAAATCCCCAGGATATTGAGCTACCACAAAAATACTCCTATCACTTGATCCAATTTAATACTCATGCAATATATTGTTTCATATTGGGATTGCCAAATAATTATTAGCTTTAGAAACTTAAGAGACTTTCATTATCTGTTAATATAAATATAAGCTGTTTTGAATAGTTCAAATAAAGAGGAATTTTCAATTATTTTTTATTAGATTATCATTGAAGTGACAGAAATGTTACATAATGCCAGTTTACTCATCGATGATATCGAAGACAACTCAAAACTCCGACGTGGCTTTCCAGTGGCACACAGCATCTATGGAATTCCATCTGTCATCAATTCTGCCAATTATGTGTATTTCCTTGGGTTAGAGAAAGTCTTAACCCTTGATCACCCAGATGCAGTGAAGCTTTTTACCCGCCAGCTTTTGGAACTTCATCAGGGACAAGGCCTAGATATTTACTGGAGGGATAATTACACTTGCCCCACAGAAGAAGAATATAAAGCTATGGTGCTGCAAAAGACAGGTGGCCTATTTGGATTAGCAGTGGGTCTCATGCAGTTGTTCTCTGATTACAAAGAAGATTTAAAGCCACTGCTTGATACACTTGGGCTCTTTTTCCAAATTAGAGATGATTATGCTAATCTACACTCCAAAGAATATAGTGAAAACAAAAGTTTTTGTGAAGATCTAACAGAGGGAAAATTCTCGTTCCCTACTATTCATGCTATTTGGTCGAGGCCTGAAAGCACCCAGGTGCAAAATATCCTGCGCCAGAGAACAGAAAACATAGATATTAAAAAATACTGTGTACATTATCTTGAGGACGTAGGTTCTTTTGAATACACTCGGAATACTCTAAAAGAGCTTGAATCTAAAGCCTACAAACAAATTGATGCACGTGGTGGGAACCCTGAGCTAGTAGCGCTAATAAAGCACCTAAGCAAGATGTTCAAAGAAGAAAATGAGTGATGTAAGCCACTCTTGATTCAGTCTGAAAGCTGGTGTTAAGGTTTTTTCTTTCAGCCTTATCATCCTTTTACAAATTCAGACCGAGGTGTTAGTCTTCCAAATTGAGAAAATAGGGTCAGTTACCTGTTTCAATTTAGAAACCCTAGTGTACATACAATCAGAATACAAATTTGAAAGAATCAAAGAACCACATTTGTGTAAGTCTCACTTGGATCGCCATGACAGGACATTGTAACCAACTGCCCTGCTACCACAAATGTTCAGTTTATTCTGTCAATAAAAAAAAAAAAAAAAAAAAAGACTTTAGTTTCTAGGAATTTTGATCCAGATACTTCCTAACTGTGCTATATGGGCAGTTCCCAGGTCATTTACCCCAGTTTCAAGCTTGTGACTACATGGGACTGGTTTCTTAACCTAGCTGGCCCAAAGACCACAAAACCCTTTTTTTCCCGTAAATGCTGCTGCTAAGAATATGTCAGTCTCCTCCCTGGAAGCCCTCTCCTGTGAAAAGGCTGATAGTGGTGAACAGTAAGTACACTGGCCCTTTGACTTCCCCTCTTCCTTTTTTCCTTTCTCTCCACACCTGTGAAGTTTTATCTGTTAATCAAGGTGTCTCCACTTAGTGAAACTCACACACTAGTTCTTTTCCCCCTTGTAATATAATTTGTGCACCGCAAACTGCTTAGTAAGTTGAAAGCTTTCTCTTTCCCTTAGGAAGGAAATAATCTGTGGAATAAGAGTTTTAGAAAGAAACCTTAGAAGAACCACGTCATTGGTAGGAGACATCTTTAAAGGGCAGTTTTTGACCTCCAGTAAAAAGTGGCAAAAGTGCCCTTTGCCTTTCCACATGTTACTGCCTACCTTGAAGGCCATAGGTCCTTGAATAGAAATAGAGTAGGCGTCTTTAATTTCCGAGATCAAATGAAGCAGAAGTGTTAACCTGGTAGAGAGAAGTAGCCGAAGGCCGCATTACCCAGCATTAAGTAGCTTCTTAGTGCCTTAGCTAGCAAGCCCATTTATGTCTTTTCTGATCCCAAGCCATTTGGAGCCATCTGTGGCTCAAGACATGAAAAAAGAGAGGCTATTTCTAGTGACACAGGTATTGTGATTTCCCAAAATGAAAGTTTATTTTCCTTAGAAACATTGTGTTTTATTGGATTGGTTCTGCAGATGTTATCCAAGATTAAATCATGTACTTACATGAGAAATTCTTATCCAAGCATTCAACCTAAATCTTTTTGAAAAGTTGAATGCTGCCTTTACTAATATGTAAAATAACTGTACTCACCTATTTCAACAGTGATAATGAAACCTCTTGAAAACAGGGGTATTTGTGCTGCACTCTAAAAAATTTGAACTTTATATTTATGAACCCATATTATTAAAAACAATTTTTTAAATCTTGAAAAATCATTTATCATTAAGTATAAAAAATACTTAGGTAGGTTTATTCCTTGTCTAATCATATTAATTTTTGCCTGGTGCTATTCATGATTCTTTTGTCATTTTTATCTTACCTTTGTCAATGACAGATGCTTGGCATACAATTATGGACTTGTAGCAAAGGGTCATTTTACCTATAAAATAATCAAAGCTCCCTTCTTTTCACTTAGTCTGTAATCATAGCTGTTAATACATAGGAAAACCAGAACATAATGAGTAGTTTAAATCCAATAAAATGAATTAACTCTTCTACTTAGAGTAAAGCTAGAGTCTTCTTTTTTTTCCTACATAAAGTAAAATCTTGTGAAGACCCGAGTAAAATTGAAGTTTGCCCTTTAGACGTCATTTTTAAATATTTTAAAAATATTTTCTAGTCTGTGGAGTTTAAAAATACAAATTGATTTTGTTTATTTGCCCAAATCAGAAGAATAAAGTTAGGTCAGTTATGTTGACGTAAATCACCCTGACTTTAGTAAGATGTTACATCCCTCAGCAAGGAGCCGACACTGGCGTGATGGGCGAAGCCTCCACTTACATCCCATATGGGTACAGGTTCAGGATCCAGCTGTTCTGCTTCCAATCCAGCTCCCTGCTAATGGCCTGGGAAAGCAGTGGAAGGTGGCGCGAGTGTTTGGATCTCTGCATCCATGTGGGAGACCCAGAGGATTCTCCTGGCTTCGGATCAGCACAGCTCTAGCCATTGAGGCCATTTGGGAAGTGAGCCAGCAATTGGCAGACCTCTCTGTCTCTCCTTTCTAACTCTGCCTCTCAAATAAATAAGTAAGTCCTAAAAAAAAAAAATCCCTCAGCAACTCCATTCCAGCCTCAATCTCATCCTATTTTACTTCCTTCCCTGTGTAATATATGTTCTGTATCATCCATTTTGGGGAAACTTTGAGAATTATTCTCAGATCACTTTCCTCCTTTCCTTGGCCCCTCTTATCTTGCCAGTTACCAATCCTGAATGAATGCAACCATCACATTCTTTGCTCTTCTCATCTTGCCGAATGTGGCTGGGAAACATTTTCAGAAGTATTGTTGTAGCTATTAAAAGGCAATGTTTAAGCCGGTGCCTCGGCTCACTAGGCTAATCCTCTGCCTTGCAGTGCTGGCACACCAGGTTCTAGTCCCGGTCGCCCCTCTTCCAGGCCAGCTCTCTGCTGTGGCCCGGGAGTGCAGTGGAGGATGGCCCAAGTGCTTGGGCCCTGCAACCCATGGGAGACCAGGATAAGTACCTGGCTCCTGCCATCAGATCAGCGCGGTGCGCCGGGCGCAGTGCGCTGGCCGTGGCGGCCATTGGAGGGTGAACCAACGGCAAAGGAAGACCTTTCTCTCTGTCTCTCTCTCTCACTGTCCATTCTGCCTGTCAAAAAAATAAAATTAAATAAATAAATAAAAAGGCCATGTTAGAATAAGTGCAGCAACTTGTATTTTGCATCCAGTCTTCCCATTGGAGATTTGAAATTTATCATAATCTAACTTCCGGTGCATCTCCTTTTCCACTCTGTTCCCCTCAAGCTTCTGACTTTCCTATCCTCTACTTGTCTGTCATTTGTCTGTTTTATATCAAGAGAAGTTATTCTGTCCCAGGCCAAAGGAACTGTTTTGGTCTTGATTCTCTCCCCATGACTTAAGAGCCTTGTTCCATTCCATCTTTATCCTCAAGATCTATCCATTGGCTCTTGTTTTTTTTTTTTTTATAATTGAAGGTTGTTTTAATTTTTGGGGTTTTTTTTAAAGATTTATTTATTTGAAAGGCAGAGTTACAGAGAGGCGGAGGTACAGAGAGAGGGCTTCTGTCTGATGGTTCACTCCCCAGATGGCCACAATGACCAGAGCTGGGCCAATCTAAAGCCAGTAACCAGGAGCTTCCCTTGGGTCTTCCACACGGGTGCAGGGACCCAAGGACTTTGAGCCATCTTCTACTGCTTTCCCAGGCCATAACAGAGAGCTGGATCAGAAATGCAGCAGCCAGGACTCAAACCAGTGCCCATATGGGATGCCAGCACTGCAGGCTGTGGCTTTACCTGCTATGCCACAGCGCCAGCCCCTTGACTCTTTTAATGAATGTATTAGGAGGAACAAAAAGGGGAAGGAAGTGTACATGTGAGGTACTCGTCAGGTAGTAGGAATTTTATGTTTTCTTGAAGCAGTTATTGAGCACTGCCAGGACCTTGAATACAAGTCAAAGCACTTGGCTCTCCTATAAACACTGCATCCATTCTTTATGCACATTTAAATGCTTTTAAAAGTTTGGGAAGCACTTTTTATGTTTCCTTCCTATAATCACCCCACTCCAGTCTGTCCTCGTTACAGTTACACCATAATGGCTGGTATCTGGTGTTTGAAATACAGAAAGAAGCTCATGATAGTAGACCCAACAATAATGTGAATTCAGATTTAATGGAATTGGCATTAGGCTCCCCAAGCCCCTACTACCCGCTCCAGGCTAACTTAACTGCAGACTTGCTCTAACCATTTAATCATCTTGTAATATTTATGCTCTCAAATAATTTGGACCTTATTGTATTACAACATAGTGTTACTATACTCTGAACTGGTTGACTAAAAAATAGTGCAAGGGTGGATGTTGGCTTAGCAGTTTAAACATTCACATCCCATTTTGGAGTACCTGGGTTTGATATCTACCTCACCCTCTGATTCCAGCTTTCTGCTCATGGAGACTCTGGGTGGCAGGAGTGGGAGAGCAAGATTGAGTTCCTGACCCCCAGCTTTAGTGTAGAGATCCTGTGTGACATTTTTTAAATCAACCAGTGGAAGACAACTTGTTCACTCAGTCACTGTCTCTGTTTCTTCGCCTCTCAAATGAATGCAGTTAAAATGTGCATTAAGAGGTGGACATTCTGGTGCCATGGGTTAACCCATTGCTTGGGATGCTTATATCAGACTGCAGGTTAGAGTCCTGACTCTGCTTCTGGTCCAGCTTCACACTAATGCACCTGGGAAGGCAGCCAATAATGGACCAAGTGCTTGGGTTACCTACCACCACATGGGAAACCTGATTGCCTTTTTTTTTTTTTTTTTTTTTTAAAGAGGCAGAGAGAGAGAAGGTCTTCCATCTCCTGGTTTACTCCCCAGATGGCCGCAACAGCCAGAGCTGCGCTGATCCGAAACCAGGAACCAGGAGCTTCTTCCTGGTCTCCCACGCAAGTGCAGGGACCCAAGCACTTGGGCCATCCTCCACTGCTTTCCCAGGCCATAGCAGAGAGCTGGATGGGAAGTGGAACAGCCAGGACTCAAACTGGCACCCATATGGGATGCTGGCACTGCAGGCTGGGGCTTTAACCCACCACGCCACAGCGCCAGCCCCCTGATTGCCTCTCCTGGCTCCTGGCTTCAGCCTGGCCCAGCCCTAACTGTTGAAGGTGTCTGGGATCTGAGTCAGCAGATGGAAGATCTTTCTCTCCTCCCCACTCTGTCATTCTGCCTTTTAAATAAAAACAAATTTTTTAAAATGTGATACAAGCAATAATATTAATAATATAAACAATTACTCATCAGTGGAAGGTAATTGTGTAGAATGCTTTATGATCATTGATTAATGAGCATCCTGTCATAGATACCTGGAAAACATTTTGCCTTGTCATGCACATTCTTTATAACACTCTAGGAGGAATGAGCAGCTTATTTGAATTATTTCTATCACTGTACATAAAGAAATATATCTGAAGATACCAGGGTTGCTCAAATGAATAATGGAAAGTATTTGGACCTCATTGGGTTAGGTAGTACTAATGATACCCTGTAAAAGTAATTTGTAAATCTTATCAAAACTTGTAACAAAATTATGAAATGCATTTAGGTAAATGTTTGAAAAGTAAACATGTTTTAAGAGGTTTCAATTTTATAAATTACATTCTAAAAGATGTCACTACTTTTTAAGAACATAGCCTGTTTATTAAAGCTAATAATAAGTCGGTTGACCATAAATAATTGGATTTATAAAATTGAGTTAAAGAAACTGAAAATTAAACATAAGATCATTGGAGAAATTATGATATGTCACTTGAACCAAAATAAAGTAACAATTCAAAGAGACTAATAGATTTTCTAATACATTTTACGAGAATCCATTTGTGGTTTGATAGAAGTAAAAGTGTAATTTTTTTAAGTTCAGTTTGTTGAGTCCTGAAATTTGGCCAGTTACAGTTTAAAAAGCTGTGTGGATTAAAGAGGAAAAATATATATATAAAACTACAGTAAATGAGGGCCGGCGCCGTGGCTCAATAGACTAATCCTCCGCCTTGCAGCGCCAGCACACCGGGTTCTAGTTCTGGTCAGGGTGCCGGATTCTGTCCCGTTTGCCCCTCTTCCAGGCCAGCTCTCTGCTATGGCCCGGGAGTGCAGTGGAGGATGGCCCAAGTGCTTGGGCCCTGCACCCCATGGGAGACCAGGAGAAGCACCTGGCTCCTGGCTTCGGATCAGCACAATGTGCTGGCCGCAGTGCGGCGGCCATTGGAGAGTGAACCAACGGAAAAAGGAAGACCTTTCTCTCTGTCTCTCTCTCTCTCTCTGTCCACTCTGCCTGTCAAAAAAAAAACAAAAAACAAAAAAACAAAAAAAAAAAAAAACAAAACTACAGTAAATGAATTCAGTAAATGAAGTACAACTAAGATAAAATACATTTAGGGCCGGCACTGTTTATATAAATGTATATTAAAGCCCTGGCCTGAAGCACCGGCATCCCATATGGGCGCCGGTTCTAGTCCCGGCTGCTCCTCTTCCAGTCTAGCTCTGCTATGGCCTGGGAAAGCAGTTCAGGATAGCCTAAGTCCTTGGGCCCCTGCACCCACGTGGGAGACCCAGAAGAAGCTCCTGGCTCCTAGCTCCTGGCTTCTGATTGGCACAGCTCCGGCCATTGCAGCCATCTGAGGAGTGAACTAGTGGACTGAAGACTTCTCTGTCTCTACCTCTCTCTGTAACTCTTTCAAATAAATAAAATAAATAAATAAATCTTAAAAAAAAAAGATAAAATACATAAAGTTCTAGATAATCTTACAAGGATTAGGAAAAATCTGATTATAAATACTGATAGTTCAGGGGCAAACACTTACCTGGCAATTAAGATGTCAGCTTCCCACACCCAAATGCCTGAGTTCAGGACTTACCTCTGACTCCTGACTCCCGCTCTCTGCTAGTGCAGACCCTGGGAGGCAGCAGTGAGGGTCAGGTAATTGGGTTCCCACTCTCATGGGAGATCTGGATTAAGTTCCCTTGTGGAGTGAACCAATGGATGGGTTCAAATAAATAAATTTATTTCTGCCTATCAAATGAATAAAAATTTAAAACAGGCTTTGGGCTTGGTAGTTAAGACGCTGCTTGAGACACCCACACCCAATATTGGGGGGCCTAAGTTCAAGTACCAGTTCTCCCAATTCCAGCTTCCTACTAATGTGTACCCTGAGGTTCAGCAAGTGATCAGTCAAGCAGTTGGGCTCCTGACATCCATGTGGGAGACCTGAATTGAGTTTCCATTTCTGTCTTCAGCCTGATTCAACCCTAACCATTCAGTGCAGCATTTGGGAATTGAACCTGTAGATGGGAGATTCCCTTGCTTTCTCTCTCTTTCTCTCTCTGCTTTTCAAATAAATTAAAAAGCAAATAGTTCCTAGGAAGTCAAGAGGATTCAGCACCATGAAGAGTATCATTAATTTTGAGAGCAATTTTTAATGTTTTGAGATCAGAAGTCACTACTGTCATTCCCATGAGGAATTTGATGAGGTTTCGTTTGTCACATCTTTGTTCAGAGAAGAGTACTATCTAGCTGATGGCTGCTGTAA